CACACTGTGGAAGATGATAGATTTCATGACCCCTTATGGTAAAGGAAATTGAGTTTCTTCTATAGTACACTTTAGGGCAACCCTAGGAATTCATTATTTAATTGAATGACAGGTGCTGTTCTCTAGCCTTTATAGTTAAGACTGGGGTAGCTGGGAGGAAAACATGATGAATTTTAAGGACTTTGGTTAATTATAGTCTAGATAATCACATTTTTCATGTATGTCAATTGGTCTATGGTTTGAAAATAAAAAATTTTAAATTTGTCATGTATGACGTTAACCAGTGCTTTTTGGTCCCTGCAAAGAAAGCTATAAATAACTTTATCTTGTTTTGAAGAGGGAATTTTTAACCCCTTAAGAACTCGTACTGTTGTTTTCTTTTTAGCGTATTATGGGGGTACAAGTATTAAGGTTATATATATGGCCCATGTCCCCCCCCCAAGTAAGAGCTTTAAGCATGTCCATCCCCCAAACATTGCTCCTCTTACTCGTTGTGGTTGTATATACCCCTCCCCACCTCCCCCCTCCCACCCTCCCGACACCCGATAAATGTTACTCCTATATGTCCACTTAGGTTTTGATCCGTTAATACCAATTTGCTGGTGAGTACATGTGGTGCTTGTTTTTCCATTCTTGAGATACTTCACTTAGTAGAATGGGTTCCAGCTGTATCCAGGAATATACAAGAGGTGCTATATCACCATTGTTTCTTAAAGCTGAGTAGTACTCCATGGTATACATATACCACATTTTATTAATCCACTCAGGTATTGATGGGCACTTCAGTTGTTTCCACATCTTGCAATTGTGAATTGTGCTGCTATAAACATTCGAGTGCAGGTGTGTTTTTCATAAAGTGACTTTTGATCTTTTGGGTAGATGCCCAGTAGTGTAATTGCTGGATCAAATTGTAGATCTACTTGTATCGCTTTGAGATATCTCCATATTGCTTTCTACAGAGGTTGAACTAGTTTGCAGTCCCACCAGCAGTGTTAGGAGTAAGAACTCTTTACTGTTTTGGTGCATACATAAGACCTACTTTCAAGTTAGATAAAAAGTTAATTAGACTTAAAATAGTAAATTAGATTTACTTATAAGTTACCACTGTTATTTTTAGTTCTGTCCAAGAAGGAATTCCCTTTTGCTTCTCTGAATTGCTCATTGTCTGGTTAGCATATTTTAAAAAGCTGTTCTAATTGAATATGAACCTTCAAAAGATACACTTGAGAGCCATCTGCTGACCCTGGGTGTTACCCGTGTGAACAACTTGTTTTGGTGGCTCTGATGGCCACATATTTGGAATGAGGGGCGGCAGATGGCTGTAAAGATTTAAAATCTTCAAGTGGCCAAGAGTCATTGTACTTTGGAGTCAGTCAAGATGCTGGCCACATGTGGTTAGTGTGCGATGTAGAATTTCACATAGTCTGCTAATGTTGGAGTTTTTTTCCTCCCTGCTGTGCTAACCTCTTCCCTTTTGTTTTTTTAGGAACTAGCCTTCTGTCTGCTGTAGATTATAAGAATTGGTAACCAAGTGGTTTGGGGAAGTAAAAAAACCAAACATAATTATGTTTCTTTTTCCAGGTGCCATGGAAGATTGGTTAACTAGTATAATGAAATGGTCCTAGTTAGAATTGCTTTGTAGTGAAAACCTAAGGTCTTTGTAGCCTTTTCTGCTTCTAGCAGATTACTGATTACTCACACAGGTAAAGTTCAGAGCTGATTTTAGATCATTCAAGAAATTCCTCATCTTTTATTTGATTTAGTTACTTCTATAAAATAATATCCATTTAAAGATGTACTTGTGAAAAATATTTCACTGTGTCAGTTCTCTTAACCTAGATTCTGATTAAAAGTAAAATCCTTTATGTGGCAGAGAGAGAAATACAAGTATGAGGTGGAGGGAAATGTGTTTTCTGTAGCTAGGGTGGAGTGGAACCACCACCATGTGGGAGCGGAAACTCCCGTTTCATGTGATGAAGAAATGCTTGTGGCATGCGGGGCAGATGGAGTGTGAAATAGCTTCAGGAAAAGAGGTGCCCAGGGACCTTGGTTTAAAAACGCAATTTCAGGAGGAATGCAAGCAAACTTCTGGATTTCAGACAGTTTGGCATTCTGGGGAAAGAAAGGACTTTAATAGGTCTGTTTTTTTTCCCTTTAATCAAAAAGTTAAGACAGAGTCATTCAGCAAGCTGCTCGCTCTTCTTTCTCATTGCCATGGAGAATGTTGTCAAGAACGAGCACTTTGTGCATGTTTCTTTTTTTGAAACCGAAGTTAAAATATACATGGTAAGAAAGCTTTAGGGTCATGTGTTTCCTCAGTGAAGCCTATTTAGGGAGCTGTAAGTGGACCTGCTAAGGAGCTGAAACATTCAGTCAATATTTTATCAAATTATTCTCAGCTAAACTAATTTTCAATTTTATGTCGGGCTGGAGCAAGCATTTTTAGATACAATTGGAAGTGTATCTGGATCCCTCCATAGCCACTTAGTTCCCTTGACCTCCTTTCTGGCCTCTGCCTCCTAAGCCCTGTACTGAGTTGTGACTCTCTGGCCTGGAGATGAAGTCAGCTGTGTCGATGTATTCTATTATAAATTCTTTCCCATGCATGTTCTTATTGCCCTCAGAATGCAATCTGACATCTTTATTGAGAAGGTCGAGACCATCCTGCATTAACCACCAATATTTTTCTGACTCTAAATCATCACACTCTCTCATCACCTTTAAAATCATTTAAAATCACTTTGTATAGAGATTTTTAAATATAAGTTTTTACTCATGAAAATTATTGGTAATAATTTGATATTCTTATTTGCTTTTGATAATGATAATTGATAAAAATGATTATTATAGAAAACTTCAGAAAACATGGTGAACAAAATAAAATGTTTCTGTAATACCACTTCCTAGAAATAACCACTATTAACATTTGGGCTTATTTCTTGATGGTTGGTCTCTCTCTATTTTATCAAAATTGCAATGATATTTGTCTTAAGTTCAGGCTGTTATAACAAAATACCATAGCCTGGATGGTTTAAATGACAAACATGTATTTTGTATAGTCCTGAAGGTTAGGAAATCCAAGATCAAGTTGCCAGCTGGTTCAGTGCCTGGGGAGGACCTTTTTCCTGGTTTGCACATGGCCACCTTCTCGCTGTGTCCTTACGTGGAAGAGGGAGTAAGATCTGTATCTCTTCCTCTTTTCGTAGGGAGATTAATCCCATCAAACTCATGACCTCATCTAATCCTAATGACCTCCCAAAGGCTCCACCTCCAAATACCTTTGGAAATTAGGGCTTCAACATACAAATTTTGGGGGAATACAAACATTTAGTTCTTAGCAATATTGTATATAAAGTTGTGTGTCCTGATTATTTTACTTATCGGTAATTACATCATGAACATTGTATCTCATCCTTACTTTAATGACTATATAATATTCTACTCAGGGCTGTACCATAGTGTATTTAGGATCTTTTGACCTTTAGGTTATTTATAGTATTTTGCTATCATAAAACAACTTTCAGATAGCTGTCTCGGCCATATTTGTTTGCCTCTCTGATTATTTCCTTCTAGAGTTCTAGAAGTGTGATTATTTAAAATACACCTAGCATACCTCTGGAAGCCAGGCCCACCTGGCAGTTCATGATTTCACTGGATTCTCAGGTTAACTTCACAAATAATGAAGAGGGAATATACAGCGCTAAGTAGAAGTAAACAGTGCCCATGATCTGGTGACCTGAGCAGCCCAGAACTCTTGCTGGGTCCTGGTGGGCCATCTGGGTCAGTTCCTGTGTTTGAGGGAAGAGGATGAAATTACCGGTAGACCCTGTAGTCCATGGCTATAGGTGCTGTGTGTTTAACAGTTTGAGGGCTTTTGTGTGTTTTTGTATATGTGGAGATGAGAGAAACTATCAACACCACCTCTATGGTAGCTTATCAATGGAATAATACTGATAATTGCTACTTATTGCTGTTTAAAAAAATCTGATTTTGCTCTTATAATGTCCAGTATGCATTTAGCCTTTCAGATTTGAACTTCCTAAAAGTTTTCAATCTGTGCTAGCTAAATTTGATTTAGAGTTACTTTAAAAAAATTCCTAGCTCTAGATTAATGGTTGTCAGGGGCTGGGGAAGTAGGGAGGGAGGGCAGGAGATATGGGTGTAGCTGTAAAGTGTGTACCCGAGGGGTCAACGGTGTCATTGTGGTTTTGGAACTGTTCTGTAATTTGACTATGGTGGATACTGAACCTACACGTGTGATAAAGTTGTATAGAACTAAATACCAAAAAATGAGTGTGAGTTAAGCTGGGGAAATCTGAGTAAGATTGGTAGATTGTTTCTACACCGATATTCTGACTGTGACATACATGATGTTACCACTGGGAGGAAACTGAGTAAAGGCTACGTGGGATCTTGCTGTATTATTTCTTATAATTTCATGTGAATCTACAATGGTCTCCATAATAATTCCAACACAGATTTTTTCTTGGCTCTAAAAATGAGGAATATTCAACAATGTGGTGTGTTTTGCTCATTGACAAATGTGAAATCAGATTGATGCTCACAAATACTATGTTTTTTCCAAGTTTATTTCCATTAAGCTTATCTAATATAAACAGAAAGAACAAATGCTTTTTAAAAATTGCACTACCGGTCAGGTGCGGTGGCTCATGCCTGTAATCCTAACACTCTGGGAAGCCGAGGTGGGAGTATTGCTTGAGCTCAGGAGTTCGAGACCAGCCTGGGCAAGAGTAGAGACCCTGTCTCTACTGAAAATAGAAAAATTAGCCTGGCGTGGTGGCACGTGCCTGTAATCCCAGCTACTCTGGAGGCTGAGGTGGGAGAATCGCTTAAGCCCAGAACTTTGAGGTTGCTGTGAGCTAAGCTGACAGAACGAGACCCCGTCTCAAAACAAAACAAAAACCAAACAATAAAAAATTACACTATAACTAAGTTTCTAAAATTGTGAAACAATTTTCTTTTTTTCTCCCCCTTTTCAGCCATGAAGACTTTGAGTTTATTTCAGGAACACGAATGCGCAAACTTGCCCGAGAAGGCCAGAAACCTCCTGAAGGTTTCATGGCTCCCAAGGCTTGGACTGTGCTGATGGAATACTACAAATCGTTGGAGAAGGCTTAAGCTGTTGATCCAGTCATTCTACCTTTGATGCTTCACTGAGTGGCAAGAGGGGACCATTAGTCACTGTCGGCATTTATTCGTGGTCGTGTCTGTCCGGATGTGCTTCCTAAAAACAGACCATTTTCCTTAATCAGTGTCAGTTTGCGTCTGCCTTATGGGTTCTGTTTTGAACTAGTGTAACACACTGCTGGTTTTAATGTATCTTTTCTGCTTATTATAGTTATATTCCTACAATACGATTTTAAAATTGTCTTTTTATATTATATTTATGCTTCTGTTTCATAATTTTTTCAAGCTGTTATATTAGTTATAACCAATAGTACACACATTGAATCTCACTTTTCATTCTTTAAAGAAAGAAAATAAAAAGACTAAACAATCAACTTGGCTAGACCTTGTTTTGGGAATTTAACAAGACATCTGTCGCAAGTAGATTTTTTTTTCTATATTGAAAATAGAAAATGCTTCCTTTCATCCTTCCAATCAGCTATTGATCTTTCAGCTATTGTAATCTAAAATATTCTTATGAGCTGTGTAAGTTCTGAATGAATTTATTCAATAAAATTAATTTTTTTGGCTTCTTATTTATATGATACTTTTTATATTGCTTTGTTTACACACACCCTTTGCTCCTTGTGAAAAAGTTTCTCATAGGGGAGCGAAAATACAGGCATCTTTTATTAATGGAATCTAACACTTGGTTCCTTACGTGTGTTACATCATGAAATTTTGGATAGCAGAAGCCTATGTTCCATCATTTTAAGTGGGAAAATAATAAAACATTCTTAGTTCATCCAAAAACTCAACCAGTTTTCCCAAATATCTCTCCAATATTCTTAAATACCTATGTAACAATCCACCAAGGTTTTGGAATATAGGTGGGGTATGTACTGCTTTAGTTAGGAAAAACTAGCTTATGTTGTAGAAACAATCTCTAAATCACAAGGGATTAAAATAAAGAAGATTTAATTCTTCTTTACGCCTTGTGATCCACACAGTTGACAGATCCTCTTTAGAATACTATACAGATGAATAGTGGTGGAACAGAAGAAGGAGTAAACTAGGTTTGGGAGGTGGCATTACAGGTAAGAGGTGAGCAGAGGTAAGAAATGATTCACAGCAGCCGTGAATCCTGAGTTGAGTTTTATGTGATGAGTACTTGTTTGCTGGGTAGACAAGGTGGGAAAGCATATTCCAACCAAACAGAAATACATGAAACAGTTGGCATATTTTGGAAATTATAAGTACCTTTGTACAGCTAGGGTGTACAATGTCAAATGTGGAAAACAGCGAGAAATGTGGCTTAAGGCAAGATAAGATGATAGTCTGGCTCAGTTCAATGGCAATGGGGACAGAAGAGAAAGGGCTGAATTAAGAAATGTTTATGTGGTAGGATTGGCAAGTGTGTATGATTTCTTGGATGTAGAGGCTAAGGAGAAAGGAGAAATTGTGTGTATTTCCAAATGTCTGAGATGAATGGATGGATGGGGGTGGTGCTAGAAATAGAAACAAGATAGAAGGAGATGGGCGGATGCCAAGTAGTCTGTTCTTGTGGGTTGGAGCAACCTATCAAGTTTGCTGTTGTGGAATATTTGCTTTTGTAGATTATTGCTACGTGGAATAGTCTAAGCGGAGATGTTTGTTTAGGAACCGGACATACAACTGTGGCTGGACTTTACTCTCAGGTCCAGAAGTAAGGGTTTAGAGAAGTTACTATTTAGAATCACAGCGTAAAGACATGGTCCCTTGGACATTTTGGGAAATATTTAAGTTGAGAGTAAACACTGTATTTTCATCTAAAGCCAGGGTTGGAACATAGATGGTCCTTTCCTGAACTAGGGCCTTAGAAATCATTTCTCCATTGCTAATGAGGCTCAAAAATGTCTGCTTTCCCACAACTAATTCTCAGGAACTCCTGAAATCTTAAGTGTCCATGTAAGCTTAGAACAGAATAAGACCACAACTAATAATAGCAATAAGAACATTTTTTACGTTGTTTCGGATTGTAGGTTACTTCTTTAGGGGTTCATAGTTTGCTGGGTGCAGGGCTCCTTCCAGGAATTGACAAACTCTCCAGGGAGCCCAGGCTCCTTAGTTGGAAGCCTCATAACAATTAAACATGACTTTAACTTTGAAAAGGAAAAGTTAGCAGAGATCACGAGGTACCTGTAGACATCTCCTGATTCCTGCAAAGTTGATCCTCTCTTACAGGACCTTCTGACACTAGGAGAGAAGCCTACATCGTCCACGTGGTGTAAGGCTTCCTGTTGCCCTCTTGGCGGAGGTGGTGGGTCACAACACAGGCATTTTTCTCTTCAGGGCCAAGCCAGTCTCTCATTCTCTTAGTATTCCCATCCCTCCTTCTCTGTGGCTCTCCTACTACAATGACAAGGTTATGAAATATGAAAGGAAGGAACCCTTCAGTCTCAGAAAAATGCTCAGCACCAGAGGTCTTCAGGCAAGCTTTTCAATGTTTACATTTTTTTCTCAACTTTGCTTCATGTTTGGAGGAGTGGAAGGCCACCCTGACACACTTCACAGGGGCTAGCATCCCTTGCCACTAACGATAGCGCTTTGTCTCTTTGGTTGCCAGCAATTATTTGTGGAAGTTTCTAATCTTGAAGTGAGCCACACACAGGATGTGACTATGGGAGGTTGGAAGTCAGAATCTTGGCTGTATCCAAGCAAGTGACTCTAAGAGAATCAGGATTTCTGGTTCTGAGAACTTACTTAAAAATGGAATAGATTTAGAAATGGTAGAGAAAATCTTATAATAAAAAATAAGAAAATACAACCTGTGGGAAAAAAGCAAACATAGGAAAATGTCCAGCTACAGCAGATTTATTATTAATGCAAGTTAAAATATGTAAAGTATCTTGTTTTATGCTGGCTAGAATGTGATGAAATCAGACCTAAGGTATCAGGGTATGGGGGAATTTTGCTAAATCCAAGTGTTCTAACTCGGGCTACCTGAATTTTCAGGATAGCATCATCTTCCCTCACCTCTGGCAGTTGGGAGATTATATTAGTTGCCCCTTTATCCTTGGTTTTGCTTTCTGTGGCTTTAGTCACCTTCAGTCTGAAATATTAGATGGAAAATTCTAGAAATAAATAATTCATCAGTTTTATTGTGTGCCATTCTCAGAAGTGTGATGAAATCTTGCACCATCCTGCTCTATCCTGCCTGGAATGTGAATCATCCTTCTATCCAGCAGAGCCATCTAGTTATCAGATCGACTGTTGTGGTATTGCAGTGCTTGTGTCCAAGTAACCCTTATTTTACTTAACAATGACCCCAAAGTGCAAGAGTAGTGATGCTGGTATTTTGGATATGCCAAAGAGAAGCCATAAAGTCCTTCCTTTAAGTGGAAAAGGTGAAAGCTTTTATCAAGGAAAGTAAAAAAATCATATGCTGAAGTTGCTAAGTTATGGTAAGAAAGAATCTTCTATCTGTGAAATTGTGAAGAAGGAAAAGAAATTCACAGACTTCAACCAGCCAAAGTTACAGCCACAGTGTCTGATAAATTCTTAGAATGGAAAAGGCATTAAACTGTGGGTGGAAGACATGAATAGAAAACTTATTCTGAATGATGGCAATATGTCTTGCCAGATTGAGAAAACAATCTTAATTAAGTTAAGCTTTATCATAGGAATGTATGGATAGGAAAAAAACATAGCATATATAGGGTTCAGTACCATCCAAGGATTTAATGGATTTAATAAGTGAACCCCTTTGGTTCCTATTTGCAGCACCCAAATATTCCTTTGAAATGCCAGACAGACCCGGCAGTGGCCAACAGTTAATTTCTGCTCCCCCAGAGATGAAAAGTTCAGGTTCTCTGAGTATGGTGTTGCAGTGGTATCTCCCCATAATTGGGGGACTTTAAATGTACCAGTGAAAAAAGCTTTTTCCCCTTCAAAGGGAAGAAAAAAAGTCACCCCAAAACATGGCAGATCTGGCTGTGAGGCCCTCTTCCCATCTCTTCAGGCTTTTTTTTTTTCCAGTGGAGCAAGAAAGATCAAAACCTAACCTGATTTACAAGAAAGAGGACAGTGATGGCTATGAAAGGAGTGACCAGAAGCAACTGACATACTCCTTTATCTCCCATATGCAAGGCATGTGCTTCCTAGAAAAACAACAAAAATAACAAATCCACAAAATACGACAGCTAGAATTACAAAATCCATTCATCCAAGGGTGGTGTAAGGCAGTATAGGTGAGAGGGTAACTGGCACAGGGAGAAAAAGTATTAGAGTCAGTCCAGGCACAGGGGATGGCAAATGCTAGAAAACAGCTGCAGAAAAACCTGTGGCCCTTTCAGACTCATAGGAAGATGCTGTTTTATGTGCACCAGAGACAAACCTTCCAGTTCCCCAGAGAGAAGTGAATATGCAGAAGGCCCCTGGCAGCGTGGGTGCTGGCTTCCCTGGCAGGCGGAGGTGAGCAGGGAACAGAGCTGTCACAGCCTCTCTCCAATCTCACCCATCCCCTTTGGGTGGAGGCAACTCAGGGGCCTGCAACAGGCTTCAGTTTGTGGGAGATGGATGTGGTGAGGGAACTTCTCTGCAGAGTTGAGCTGCGCAGGGCAGATTGCAGGTACACTGTCTTGCTGGAAGAGTCTGCTGCTTAAGAAGACCACCAAGGAGAAGAGTTGCAACTGGAAGAGGAGCTCTGTCAGGGTCTCTGCTTTGGCGCTGAGGAAAGAGGCTACAGAGGAGGCAGCCACTGATAACGTACGAGGACTGCACTGCAGCGAGAAAAGCCAAAGGCAAAGCAGACCCAAGGTAGGAAGGCCAGTTCCTTTCTGTTTGCAAGCACCTGTGTGCATTTCAATTGCTTTATTGAACCAACGATATTCAAAGCAATACAGTGAGTAGAGAGGGGACGCAGGAGACCGAGCAGCTGCCCATCAAGATGTGTGCGAAAGAGACTCACAAAGACCCCTGGATGAGGAAGAGAGGCTGTGACAAAAGGCTGAAGAGTGTGTCAGCAGTTACGTCGCTGACCCTGGGGAAGGGGTGAGGCTTCCTTCCCCTGCCTCAAGTGCCAGGTCAGCGGTTCCGTGAGACCCAACGGCACTCACAGCTTTGCTAAGCGCAGACCGGCAGCGCCCAGACAGCACCGGAAATCGATGCGACGAATTCAGCCACGACCCCCCATCTCCGCGTCGTGACGCCCAGCGACAATCGGGGCTGTTACTGACGGAAGCACAGGAATAAACACTCGACAAAACAGGACACTAGGCCAGAGCCTCCATGGACCATTGCAGGCAGAACACTGGAAAATTCCACCACCGCCACGCGGCTCACCGCCTGGCCTCGCCCGCGCCGCTGCTGGCCGCTGCTGGCCGGTCCTCCCCAGGCGCGTCCTCTTCTGCCGGACTCCAGCCTTGAGACGCTGCAAATGCCCCAGACAGAGTCTTTGATTCCCCTGGCGGGGTCCTGGAGAAAGGTGTTGACACTGGCAGCCATCTCGTCACCACCCAAACTGTCAGCTCCACAGAGGCGAGGGGAACAGCCCAAAATCTCTCTTCAGGAAGGATCCGCGGCTCTGCCTCTGCAGGGTGCTGGCCGCGCTCCTAGGGCCACGCGGCAGCCGCACTGCGCATGCCCGGCCTCGAATGCTGCCCACACTGCGCATGCCGGGCCACGTGTCGCCTATGCAACGCTCAGTTGTCCGTTGGGGTGTCTTGGAACGTGTCCCCCTCAGACGGAGGGACTACAGTACTGAGGATGCAATGAGAGGAATTTCACAGGCGTGGAGTGGTGTAAAGCCTGCTGCGTGAGAACGAAGCATTTACCTCAGACCCAACAGGACGGGCCTCCGGTTACCCAGGAATGTGGTGTGAGGTAAGTGGCGTTCTCGGTGACTTTGGCCTCGATGTGCGTGAGTGGAGAGGAGGAACTGAGGAGGAAGGTGCGGGGAGACCCGTTAACAGGCCTGCGCCTGTACGGGCGGCGGGGCGGGGGTCCGGTTCAGGTGGTGAAGAGGCAACGGGGAAGCGAGGATGCCGTCGCCATCTTCCGCACCCAGTCCCGGGGCCTCTGGCTGCGCCTTGTTCTTTGGTGGCCACATATGCTTCGACTTGGGTGTTCCCGCACACGTGAGCTTTTGACAACAGGAATCCAGCGAAACCCAATTTGTTCCCTTTGCTGCAGCTCCAGACACCAGATGCGTCTGCTTTTAGGGCCTGCGCCTCAGGAACCTCCAGGGGCCGCTCTGGACACCCTTCCCCGTTGTCGCGCTGTGGGATGCTCCCCGCGTGCCCTCCGCACAGGCCCTGACGCCACGTTGGCTTTCTACGCTGTTTCTTGTAAAACTGCAGGTGTCTCTTCTTGACTTGAATGTCAGGACTTATGAGGAAGCGCCCTGAGGAAATAACGCTGACAGCTAATTGCTGTGGGTCGCCTGTGCCAGTGTTGAAGCATTAACTACCCTGATCTTCACACTCCGTGGCATGAGGTGATGTCGTTGTTCCCGGGAGAGCTGGGCCTGCAGGTGACTAGGAGCTGACCTGGCACTTACAGCGAGGCAGTGGTGTGCTCCCGTGCAGAACCCGCAGTGTCACAGAACCCCAACACCAGGCAAGGCTGCTCTGGGACTGCAGCCTTGGGAGCAAGACAAACACAGGACCACTCTGGAGTTGTGTTCTGAGGACAAGAACATTTTCCAAAGCAAGAAATGACCAAACATCCTCCTTTACTTGTTATGGTGAGAGACTGCCACTTCTTTGCCAATACCACTTGGCTTCTACTCTTCTCGTTTTCTAGATAAGAATGAAAATTCGCAAACAGAATTACACCCACTTCCTGACAGCACCCAATCCCGAGCGTAGTCTCACTTCCTTAATCTCTCCTCGGCACAAGGCCAAATCTTGTAAGTCCCTTCTAATAACCTCTTAATAAAAAGACCCACGTGTAAGTTTTGTGGTGGCGGAAGAAGAGTAATGAGGCTGTATAGATGCTAACAAACATAGCGTTTATTGAAAGTGCTCCTGGGCGAGGTTCAAGGGTCCCAGAGCAGGGGCCCCAGAAGTTCACGCCACCCAGGACTGCGAGAGCTTTTATAGGGGGATAGCTGTTGTTGTTGTCTGTCTCCGGGGGTAAGGGTAGGATGTTTTGCACCAGGGGCATCTTTCTGCTTTGTCTTGGCAGGGGGTGGGGGATGGGTGGTGGTGGTGGTGTCATCGTCGTCGTCCGGGCCGAGATGTTCCGTTGGTAACAGGATGCAGTTAGGGCAGCTGTTGTGCAAGGTCTGCAGGCTTTGCAATGCTGTGAGGATGGGGGAAGAGGGGAGGGGGAGACCCAGCCACCATCCTTACACCATGTTCTTCATGATGGACATTCTCTTTCATTCTAATGTGTCAATAATCCCAAAACACTATGGGGATGTTCTTGGAGGTCTTTGTCTAGAGGGCATTCCCAGTCCCCTTGCTCTAGGTCCTGGAAATATGAGGGAAGATTCTGCCTGGAATGTAGATTCTGATGCCAGTTCTGCTTCCCCATCAGCTAGAGTTGCTGCTCCTCACCACTTACCCAAGGAACAAGCACAGATCCTTAAGGTCATTATTAAACCTATCCCAAATAGCACAAGATGAAAGGAATTATTTTCTGTTAAAATAACTTTAACCCTGCTCCTGGTGAAATGGTAATGCTGGGGTTACTTAATTATTCTTAGGAAGAACCAATAAATATTTATTAAGCACCAATTATGATTAGTCACTATTATATTTGCTGAGGATATAGCAGTGAATAAATGGACAAAAATGTGTTCATGGTGTTTATATGCTATGGAACGTCATGACCCCTTTCTGTGTTTGGTTTATGTTGAGTCTCTATAGCAGATGCACAGAGCCCTGCCTTAGTCATTCGGGATGGGTAATGCCAACTGAATGAGAAGCATTTTGATGACCAGTCGTAACTACTTCTTCATCCATCCTCCTGCTCCTGGGTGCCCCTTCAAGTGAAGAGGTACAGGGGAGTTTTAAGTTTCAAAACAAAAAGTAGGGGGCTACTTTGTCTATTATGGTAGTGTAGAGTTACTTGTTATCTGCAGCATGTATTTGTATACAAATGATTTATTAAATTTAAACATTGCTTTCAAACTAAATATGCCCACTTTAATCTCTAGTGTTTGCTGGCATTATTTAAGGAAATCAGAGTTTTTCTTTGTAGTTAGAAAAGAAAACTTTAATTTTAGCACTGGTAAGTCTTTCCCAAAATCTAAAATAATAAAATCCAAATTTAATTCAATGTGACAAATTTATACTGAATAGCTTTTGTGGGGAAGGATCATGTCTTTCTTTTGTAAAAGTTAAAATGCTTTGCAAACATTAATGGACATTTTCAAGATAATGTCTATATCCGATCTTAATAAATTTGTAGCATACAGTATATATAGCTTACTGTATATATAAAGCAACATTTTTGGTAATGACTCATATGTAATAGTGTCTGCAATGTGGTTTCCATTATAACTCTAGTCTTCATCTGCTAGTAACTTTCTCCAAATTTAATCTTTTGGGCTGAAATTTTCCATGCCTGGTTTAAGCTCAAAGGTATTTAAAAAATTATTTTTTAAAGTTGCAAGGCAATTCTTTTGGCTATCATATATACCTCTTCTAATTTCAATGTAGGCAAGTAAAAAAAAAGAAGGAAAAGATTTAAGTATATGGATATGGTTGGTATTTGTGTGTTCAACTAGAACCATAAAAAGGCCTTTTTATAGCCTTATACCTAAAATCATTTATTCAGCTCATTTCCTAAAGTAACAGGAGCACCATGCTCACTGTTATCTGGTATGCTTTAGTTGTTGCAGAAACTAGTTTTCTGCGTAAAAACAGAGAATAAAAAGATCCTTCTAGATTAGATTCCCATGACATTGAAATATGTGTGTTTAACTGATTATTGTGATGACTTGTACACAATGCCCTGTCTCTGAGGCTCTTGGGATGAGAATTCAGGCCTTGATCATATCCTTTCCCACCATTCCTGGCCTTGTGGAGCAAATATAATATTATTTTAGGAAATTAAAAGTGGCTTCTTGTAAGAAAATATGGATAATTATATCCTTTTTAGATGTTTATATTGAAAAAGATGTCTCTCTGAGTTTAGTTCTGGTAGTCACATCGCCAAACAGGTCTCAGAGGTGTTCTGCAGATATTATTTTTGTCATAGGATATCTAGAAATGTAGCTGTAAGTGCACCTTCTCCCTCTTATCCAAAAATAAAAAGTAAGCATGCAGCCTTCATAGAGGTCTTTGGTGGTTGGGGCTTGGTGCATGAGGATAAACAGCATTTTTAAAGACAGAATGAGGCAGGCAGGAATTCTTTTGGGGTCCACACAAGATAAAATGAAATACTCTGTGTCTTATATTCTCGGGTGTCATGAGTCTTCACCTCACACTTGATTTAAACTTTGTTCCCATCTTAAATGTCATTAGAAAGTCATCACTTTCAAAATAGTCTTGCTTGGTCTTTATCTAAAAAGGAAAACAAAACTGTCAAGTTGTCTCAAAGCTCTATAAAAAGACGACATCTTAAGTATATATTCTTTATAAAGGCATACCCACGTATGTATTATATATATGTGTAATTGCTTTGTGTGCCTGTCTATTCTCTTTCTGTGGCTCTCCCATGTAGACATAGACATATATATCCGTGTAGATTCAGAATTTCCCTCAAGGAACAAAGGGAATCTCATAATGAAAAGCAACATTTTTTATGGATCCATGCCAAGGTACCAGATCCTTTTCTTTTCCAGTTGATTTATCTTAATGATTTTCTGTCAGGCAAAAGCCTTTATGAATTCTGCATAATGTCCTATTCAATTACAGCAGCATGCTTGCTTCAGCTTTGCAAGGCTAAGCTTGAGATGATTTTTCATGTAAAAATCTCTCCCATAGTCAGTAACAAAATGAGACCAGTTACTGCTGGAAGAACATAATTAACAAAAATGTTTTATTTTTTAAGATTCATGCATGCTTAGAAAAATTCTGCCTGGACAAGTTTTCCCAACTTTGTTTCAAATTTGAGCCTAGGTTTTCATTTATATATAGTTCTTAGCACTGTGCTTGGAATTAGGTGTATGCTTAAGCAGACAGAACACATTGTCAAAATGTTCCCTTTCAGCCTTATCTTTCTACAGAGAAGCATGGACAGACCTCTGCATTGGTCCATAATAGTGCTAATAGAACTTGCTATGGTAATGAAAAATGTTCTATAATCTGCTCTACATGATATGGTAATCTCTAGCCACTGTCATTGTTAAGCATTGGAAATGTGGCTCGTGTAATTGAGAAACTGAATTTTAAATATAAATTAAATTTAATTAATTCAAATGTATATAACTGTATATGGCTAGGAGCTACTCTATTTCACCATTTCTTTTAGATTTTCTAATTTGTTGTCATATAGTTGTTCATAATAGTCTCTAATGATCCTTTGTATTTCTGTGGTATTAGTTGTGATGTCTCCTTTTCATTTTTGATTTTATTTATTTGGGTCTTACCTCTTTTTTCTTAGTCTGGCAAAAGTTTTGTTGATATTGCCTATATTTTCAAAAAACCAACTTTTCATTTTTGTTGATCTTTTGTATTTTTTAAAAAAATCTCAATTTCATTTATTTCTGTTCTAATATTTGTTATTTCTTTCCTTCTACTAATTTTAGATTGGTTTATTCTTGCTTTTCTAGTTCTTTAAGGTGCATCAGTAGTTTTTTTATTTGAAAATTTTCTACTTTTTGGAGGTAGGCATTCATTGCTATAAACTTCCCTCTTAGTATTGCTTTTTCTATATCCCATAGGTTTTGATATGTTGTGTTTACATTTTCATTTGTTATAAAAGTATTT